GTTTGTGTGTATGTGGTGGGTATGTGTGGGTGGGTATGTGTATGTGTGTATGTGTGTGTACAACACATCTGAGCAAAACATGGAGAAATACACTGTCCTCACTTAAGGCACGGAAGGGGAGGCTCCCCCTGCAGGCGGCTGGTGGAGGTAGGACGAAAATTGATCACCACCATGGGAAGGACAGTCCAGGACTGGATCTGCACAGCCAGCCAGCTTTCTGGAGCCTGTACTTGACCTTTGTGTGCACAGCTTTGGGGGAAGAAGCAGTGAGAACACAGGGTGAGATCTACTCTCCATCCTCTGTGCTAATGAAGGAAACTGTAACATGGGGATTTCCCAAATGCTAGTTCCATCCCTGAGTTTGGAAATATAAAAGCGTTTATTGGGCTGTAATGAGACTAGTTATGGCTCAGATGGTAAAGAATCTGCCTGCAATGCAGGAGACCTGGGTTTGATCCCTGGGCTGGGAAGATCCCTTGGAGGAGAAAATGGCAACCCGCTCTAGGATTCTCGCCTGGAAAATTCCACCAACAGAGGAGCCTGGCAAGCTACAGTCCATGGGGTCGCAAAGAGTTGGACACAACTGAGTGTGCACACACAACTCGCACACAGACATCGTCAAAGTCCTACTTTGGGGCATTAGAACGAGTCACATAACTTAAAAAACATACTTACTTTAAAAATTCTGTCCAAAATTATTTTCGCTCTTAGGTTATTACAGAGTATTGAGCAGAGTGCCCTGTACTATGCAGTAAGTCCTTGTTGGTGCCTATTTTAAATATAGTAGTGTGTAGATGTCAATCCCAAACTCTTAATTCAAGAATTTGAAAAAGAATAGATACATGTATTTGTATAACTGAATCACTTTGGTGTACACCTGAAACTAACACAACATTGCTAATCAACTACACTTCAATATAAAAACATGGCTAAAATTTCACTTTTTTAAAAAAAATTCTGTTTGGGTTATGAGAGCATTTAAACGAGGTGACCCTCCTGAAAAACACACTGGGCAGCAGTCGAGGTGGTGGGTTTCAGGATGGGGGCACCTGGGCTAGTGTGTTCAGGATTTGGTTTAATATTTGAAGCCAAAATTATTCCTCCCCTTCTCTTACTTTCTCTTCTCCTCAATCACATAAAGTGTCTCAGCTGCAGAGAGACATGAGCCCTGGGTGTGCCAGAGTTTCAGATGCTCTGGGTCACCATTTCCTGAGGTTGGCATGGGGAGCTGAGGGCGGGGATGGACAACTCTACCATGCAAGCTGATAGAACCAAAGGAAACAGGGTACCACTCGGATGGAGGGGACTTGCCTTCAACAGCAGAGTTCAATTAGTGTAATTTTTTGGCAGGTTGACCTTATAGTCATTGGTCAACCATCAGAAGCCATACTGTATTCATGCATCCTGGTCCTAGAAAAAGAGAGCCCTCTGACCCCCGGAGGGGTGTCCTGATTCTCTGAGGTCTGGATATGCTATGGGGCTGCACCTGCTTCTACCTGTGGGAGTGCTTCTCGGACCCAGGGCTTGGGGGTGAACTCGGAGGTTTTCTGTTCTTAGGTGCGATTTCTGGAGCAGCAGAATCAGGTGCTCCAGACAAAATGGGAGCTACTGCAGCAGGTAAACACGTCGACTCAGACCAACAATCTGGAGCCCATCTTTGAAAGCTACATTAGCAAGCTGCAGAAGCAGGTGGATTTTCTCAGAGCGGAGCAGATGCGCCAGAGCTCGGAGATCAGGAGCATGCAGGATGTTGTGGATGACTACAAGAACAAGTGAGGCTCCAGGAGGAGCAAAGGGGTGGGGAGGAACAAGACAGGGGAATGGTTTACTGTGAATGGGTGAGGGGTGGGGGACCCTGGACATCAGGCGCAGCCAGGCAGGCTCTGCACCACTGCATAAGTGCATGGGCACCATTTTGCACACGGTGGCCCCAGAGTGATGGCATTGCCAGTCAGCTCTCAGTTGTACTGGGTGGGGAGGGGAAGCAGAAGATCTTCATGGATGTTGGAGTCACACAAGCCTGGGTTCCAGTGAGGGCTTCATCACTTTCTGACTGCCTGCAAGGGCATCTTTCTAAGCCTTTGGTTTAGTAAAGTAGGGATAGTGAGTACCCTCCTTGTTGAACTGTTGTGAGGGGGAGATCTGTGGCTCTCAAATTTGAGCATGCATCAACTTGTTGAAATCAGATTGGTCTGGGATGGGCCCAGAGGGCTTTTATTTCTAATATGCTTCCAAGTGATACTGATGCTGGTGGCCTGGGAGCCACATATGGGGAATCACTGGTTTAGATAAAATATTCTTAATAGTTCTTAGACTGTTTTTGCACATATGAAGCCCTCAACATGCACTAGCTATTATTAGTAATAATGGTAGGAGTGACATGAGTTGCTTAATTCTAGGTCAGCTGCTCCTGTCCCATACAGGCAACTGAGCAGCCTCCCCCCTGCCCCCACTCCCCTTGCTGGGGGTGTAGGGTGCTTCTCTTAACATCACCTTGACGTGCTTACTGCATTGAGCAGTCACATGTGTGTGAGTCAACAAGGGGGAAATGAAATGCACATTGAAGGTGATGGGGCAGAATGGCAGGTGAAATTTTTCTCTTTTAAAAAATTTAGTAAAAGTGGTTGCTATTTAGGTTCTCATTTAAAAAAATGATCGAACTGGACAAATGTACAAAGGTAAGATATTAAAATAAAAAGGACATTTTGGGGACTTTCTATGTGGCTCTAGATTTTCCACATTGGGGGGCTGTGCCCTCTGTTGACCTGGAGAGCCAGGAGATGGCTCCAGCTGCTTGTCAGTGAGAGTGGCAGGCCCTGGCAGGGGACAGCCAGAGTCCAGGACCATAAAAGTTTGGGTGATTCTGAGCTTCCCACTGTAAGGGAAAATCTCAAGGAGCTGAGGTCAGCCCTTGCAGCCTGTCTGTGTTTCTGACCTCCCCGCAACAGGTATGAGGAAGAAATCAACCGGAGGACCAGTGGCGAGAATGAATTTGTTGTCCTGAAGAAGGTGAGGGATGGGGGTGTCCAGAGGAGAACTGTGGGTTTAGGAGGCTGAGAAGAGGCAGGGACTCCTTTGGGTTGCAGTAGAAAGGAGGGGTGGACAGGTGAGTTTGGGGGCCAGCTTGTTGAGGGTGTTTCCCAAATGCTGGGGCCCTGACCCTGAAGCAGTAAGTCTCAAAAATGTGTTGCTAATGTGAATCTTGAAAAGTTTTTGAGTTTTTAATCTCTCCAGAGTCCTGAAAGTGGAATTAAATTAATGGGCAGCATGTGAGTGTGTTGTGTGGGGGCCTTAGGACCTGGGGTGTTTTGCATGACTGGCCAGGATGAGGAGCTGATGGAAACTTTCTTCTGGCCAGCAAAGCCCAGGTTTGCTGGCCCCTTATTTGACTGAGGGGAGGAAATTTGCAGGCTAGGAAATAAACCCAGAGAGGCTTTGCCACTTGCCCAAGTCTGCCTAGACAGCTGGTGGCAGGGCAACCGAGTCAGACTGTCTTCGCTTGTTGTTCAGGATGTGGATTCTGCTTATCTGAGCAAAGTGGACCTACAGTCCAAGGCAGACACTCTGCTTGAGGAGGTTGATTTCCTGAAATATTTATTTCAATCGGTGAGTCAATATCTCAAATATTTCTATGAGATGATGAGCTCAGTTCTCATAAGAAACCCTTCTCTTTTCTACATCTGTCAGGGGTGTGGGCTGTAACAGGGGGAGGTCTGACACCCAACATTACCCCATGGGGGTGCCTCTCCCCAGTCACCTCAAGTCTGCAGGCCTGGAGTCAGAATCGTTTCAACCCCCAAAGCTCAGGATTCCATGTGTGGGGCCTTGGAGATGGGAGGTGGGAGATGGTGAAACAGTCTCTGCTTCTGTCTGGAAATGAAGCTTAATGCCTAGGACATATGGGGTAAAACCAACCAGACAGCTTCATCAGCACTGGGGAGTAGATGGGGCCATCAGGGAACTCTGCAGAAGAGGGTAGTGTGGGTCTTAAAGGGAATGCAGGTGAAGACTGGAGAAGTGGGGGTAACACACTCCTCCCAACCCTGGTCTAACTTGGAGGCACCTTCTCTGGACCGGATGCTGTGCTGGGAGCTTTACTGGGTCTTGGGTATCTCCAGTCTATAGATGAGAGAACAGGGGCACTGAGAGACTGAGTTCCTTGCTCAGGCACCCAACTGGTTAGCGGTGGAGCTCAGATGCTAAAGCAAGTCTGAGCATCTACACACATGGAATCCTTTCTGCTGCCTCTGGGAGCTCATGTGATCTTAAGGAACAAGTCTGCCTGGCTGGAGGTCCTGCTCAAGATAGTGGCCAAGCCAGAGTAAGGAGGGACGGAGGGTCCAGGAAAGGCATGACGGGCGGCTCTGAGTTCAGGCTCCCTTCTCTGCGCCTAGATCCAGATGCCTGTACCTTTAGTGAAGGTCCCTCTGGGCACACAACAATGATTCTAAGAGCTTTTCCCAGAGAACTTTTCTCTCTCAAGGCTTCCTCAGAGAGCCTTGGGGGGGGGGGGGGG